CGGCCGATATCAAGACAACGACACTGTTCTGTTATTGTTAATGATCGTGTCTTTATATTTGGTGGTTTGGGGTATGCTTATCATTTTTTTTTTCTTTTTAAGTGATAAATAATTATTTTAGAATAATTTAATTTTTTTTTTAACTCAATAATTAATAGCTAATGTTAAATTTATCTTTTATTTAAAAAAAATCATGCATATACCATAGATTATCACTTTATTATAATAGTAATTGTTACTTTTCCAACTTAATTACTAATTGTTTTGTTTTGTAATTAATTGCATAGTATTAGCTACATAATATTAAAATTTATTAATTAATAAAATTGTTTTTTATTTGAGTTTATTATATAATTATCATTTTTTTTGGCTTTTAATAAGTATTATACAAATTATTGTTTAAATATTAAATATTTGGTAATTATTGATATTTCTTCTGCTTCTTTTTTCCATTTTATCATCAGAGATTATTATTATTATTTCTTAAGAAATATATTATGAATTATTTTCAAGATTACTTTGTATTTTGAATTATTAATATTTTTAAAGTGTATTGTAGATTATTATTATCAAGATTATTATTGAAAAAATGTTTACTTACAGTAAAGCAATTATTAAAATTATTATTTTATTGTAGCAAGAAATGAACAATAACTTTTTTAAACTAATAATTCAGTAAGTTTTTAATACTATAAATTATTATTAAAATTATTTAACCATACTATGTATACTATACTTTATTATTATTATTAGTACATGATCATGTTTTTTTATTGTAAAATGAAGTGGTTAGTTTCTTTTTTATTTTTTTTTAAAATATTTTTCAGTTTAAAAATAGTACCAAATGAGAACAATATCATCTGACATTACTTTATAATATCATTTAAGGGCAGTGGCTGAATTTAATTTACCTCCCAGTATTGCTGCTGATGCGCAATTGGTCAGAGAAATAGCTGATCTTCATGTTCTTGATTACGGTTAGTTAAATTTTGTAACAAATTTCTTTTTATATTATTATTGAAAAAATGTTTACTTACAGTAAAGCAATTATTAAAATTATTATTTTATTGTAACAAGAAATGAATTTAATTAGTATTATATTATCTCATAATAAATCATATTAAAATTTAATAATAATGTTAAAATTTGATTAGATGGTATAAAATTAATTAATTATTCTTTGTTTAATTAATAAATAAATTTAAGAAATGAGAATTTATATTTTGTTATGGTTATTAATCAAACTTTAAACTAATTTTGCATTTTATTTTTACTTTTATATTTCATTTTTTAATGCGGTAAATTTGTTGAGATTTGATAATGCTACTAATTAATTAGTCTATTTATTAATTTTATCAATTAACTTCTCATTTAGCTTTAATTTATCCATTACTCATTAGCTTTAGCAACTAATTTTTCTTTTTTACAACGATGTATTATTTAACTAACTATTTTTTTAAATAAGCTTTGTCATTCTTCTCTCATTTTTCACATTTTTTCCATGCTTCTGTTATAGCTTAATTAATCTAATCTATGATAAAATAATTAATTATAAAAAGTGCATTCACACCATAATATTTATTTGTGATTTTGTAATATTACTAAAGCTATCAATTTTTACCTAACATTTGCCAAGTTAAAATTCAATAATAAATTCATTAAAAAATCTCAGTGATTATTGAAAGTAAAAATTACAGATTTTAAATTGGAAGATCTTTGCATCATTTCATTATTGAGAAATGGAGTAAGTAGCGATCTTTTTAATTTACTTCCATTTTGGATAAAGTAAGTTTATCTTACATTCTTCTCTTATTTTTCACATTTTTCCATGCTTTTGCTGTAGCTTAATTAATCTAATCTATAATAAAATAATTAATTATAAAAAGTTTGAAATGCATTCAATTTTAGATGAATCAAATAATCCAAATTCTTTCTGAAATATTTTAAAATTTATGGAAAAATATGGCTTAAATCATTTTAAGTATATTTAAAAACATACTTCAATTATTATTTGATCGTTACAAAAAATCAACAAGCTGTTATTATTTTCCACTGTTATTTTTAATTTTATCATCAAAATTAAGCATCAACAATTTACTAATAAATTTAATTATGTATTCATTTCAAATTTCAGATATAATATTAGCATGAGAGTTACACCTAATTATGTGACGTGAAATGTGCTTCTTTTTTATTGGAAAATTTTTTGAAATGCGCAATTGTTATATTTTTTTCGTGAATTTTTTATTTTTAAATAATATTTTATATCATTTGATCATTTCTAAAATAGTCATTTTTCATTTCTTGTATTACTGTTATCATTATTATTATTGTTGTCATTATTATTGTTGCCATTATTATTATTTCTATTATAATTGTTGCCGTCTATTATTATTGTTGCTATTCTTACTCACTGATTCATATAGCATTGTTTTAAAATTTTTGAACAAATACGAAATTATTTATTTCTTTGCATTATGATTTAGTAAATATTTACATACTTTATTTATATGCATTTCTTTCCCTGAAATCTCTGCCTTTTTTGTTTTTTCCTTTTTATACAATTTCTTTTTGACTCACTTACTGATATTTGAAATTATGGAATGATTAGCAATATTTCGATCAGATTATCAGTTCGAAATTTATGCATATTATAAAATGATTACTGATAAATCATTGTAAGAATATCATCTATAATTTTTTGTTGTTTCAGTTTTAAGTATTACTTATGCATTTATTCATATTGCATATATTACATTACTTAATAATTCAACTTTTCAAAAATCGATCATAATAATTAAATTAAATTCAATTTTAATCAATTTGTGATCTATGCATAATTTTATATTAGTCTTTTTCATCAATCATTTTTTTCTTTTTAATCACTAATTTCCGACATGTGTATGAGAAGAATTGAAACATTGATGAATGTTATGTTTGATTCATAAATCATTTTCTAATGATTACAATAAATGTTTACTTTTTGAAATTACTGAAATAGTTATCTTAAAAGATTAAAAAAGAAAATAACATTCTTAATAATATGTTATTTTTGATTAATATAATTCAAAACAGTAATTAAAAATTTTAACAGAGCAATAAAAATGCAATAAAAACTGGTAAATAAATAATAAGTATCAAGTAAATAAATAATAAGTACAAAGAATATAAGAAAAAAATAAACAAAAAACAAGAATAAAGTAATTGTTTACATCAATTTCGGTGAATAAATTCAGTTTTTTACAGAAATATTTAATTAAAACTTTATCAGTGCTTTAAAAAATTTTTTTGTTTAAATTGGATTATAATCAAATAAACAAAGATGTGATAAGTTGGATGATTTATCAATACTATTTCCTTTTTTATTTATTTTTTTTTTTTCATCAAAGTGATAACATTTCAATATGTTGGCAAAATGAAATAAAAAATATTTTTTATTTATCATTAAATGACATAAAATAGTATAAAATTGCTATGTGGCATAAATAAATTTTTATTATATTAATTCTCTCATCTTTTAATAATTTATTGTAAAATTCCACTTCTGAATTAAATAAAGTGTTTTTAATTTCATCTAATAAAGTGAAATTTTCTTATGTTAATATTGTTATTATCATAATACATCAAAAAAAATTATTTTAAAAAATTTTATTCACGATGAATGAATTAATTTATTTTATATAATTACAGCTGTCATAAATATATTGCATTTTATTAAGTCAAATTTCTTATCATTTATTGAAATATGGCAAAATTGAAAATTTGCAAACTTTTTTTATTAAATACTAGTTATTGTATTAATTATTGTACTGTTACTGTTGTTGATAATCTCTGGATCATTCCGTGATAAACAATTCGGAATGATAGCGTTAACATTAAATATTTCTAAATGATTTATCATTGGATATGATATGATAAATTTAATGGCACTGTATTTCTGAATTAGAAAAAAACACAATTCTCGAAATTTTTAAATAACATTTCTAAAATTTTTCTAAATTTTTTCTAAATTTTTTTTAAGCCTTATTATATGATAACATTGTACCTTTTTTCAAAATTTTTTTTAAACTTTTTTTTTTTTAATTACATTGCATTATTGCATTGCTATTTGAATAGAATTTTTAATAAATTTTCTGTTAATTTACAATTTCAAATAGAATTTCTTCTTTTTTGGCATGAAAAAATTCATAAACATGCTTTAAAATTTTTTACTTTGTTTTCCGCGTAATTATTCCTCACGTATTTTACGTGTAATAGACAAATTACCACGGAAGAAAAAAGCCAAAACATTTTGTTGAATTTGCTTGCAATGATTTTTATTCCTTTGTAAATATAAAAATTTAACATTGTAGAAATAAATTTCAAAACAGAAAAAGGAAAAACATTGTGGCACAAATTTGAAGCATAGCAGAAAGAAAAAAAAAAAAGGAAAGCATTTTGCAGAAGTATAAATGATAGATTAATTTAGTAAATTTATTCAAAGAAAAGAATAAAATTAATTTGAGTACAATTCAAAATGTCATCAAAATTACAGGTATTTTCATAATTGAACAGAAAAAATTATGAACATATCACTATGTATGAGGTATAAATTTGATGAGTTTTCTTTTCTTTTTTTTAAGTAAAAAAGTGGTTGTCAAATTGTCATATGAAAGAGAGAAAGAGAGAGAGAGAGAGAGAGGTTGATAAGAGAAGAAAAAGAGGTTTTTTTTAATTGTGATAAATTATAATTGTAAATGTTTGGTAATTTTTTTTTTTGTTTTCTCAATTAGAATAAATAATATTTTTTGATAAAATTTTTTGTGGTTTTGAAAGTTGAAAATATGAAATTTAATAAAAGCAAAAACGAATAAAATAAATGAAAATTGAAATGAAAACAATTTTCTTTTTTCAAAAGAAAAAAAAAAGGAACGAATGACTGTCAATAAAAAAAGTAAAAAAAGATGGATGAAAAATTGAATTTAATTCATTCAAATGTTTCTTCGTTAAGCATATTACACTCATAAAACATGATTCGGTGTTGTCATCATATCAAGATGAATTCTAAAATAATTTAAATAATTTCATTGATTGAATATGAATGCTTTTTTTTTTCTATTATATTATTAAAATAAATGTATAAATCAAAATTCTATAACTTTTTTTTAAAAAGTTATAGCATTTGTGAGCTTTCATTCTTTTTATTTTCGTTTTTTCTTTTTCTTCTTAATATACCACAAAATATTCGATGCATCAAAAGTTTAAGAGAAAAATATTTAATAAAAGAACAAAAAAATTAATAAGTAATAAATTAAGATTAACCTTAATTCAAGTGGAAGATTATAACTTGTTCTAGGTAATTGATATCGTAGTACGGCAATTGCTGCAAGATCTTTCAATTTCCAATCTATAAAATGAAAAATGGATGAATTAAAAAAGTTATGTTAAAATTTAAGAAAAAATTTTTCATTTTTTATAAGCAATAAAATAATTGTTAACAAAATATTGAGAAAAATTATTTATTTATTTATTTTTTTAAAAATAATTATTTCAAAACTAACTGAAATTGAGAACATTGAGATCACACATTTCCAGTAAACAACCAAAGCCAAGCATTTCATTATAGGAAATGAGTTGTCTAAAATTGACAATAATCAAATATTAAGTATACAAAAAAGAAAAATTGCAGCAATAATTTAAAAATATACAGTTTTTAATTTCAATTAATATATGAAATGCATATTTAAGTCAAACATTATAAATGTATTGTATTCATTTCATAGCTTTAAATTATATAATTAATTTCAGAAATATCTCTATTGTTATTTATTTTATTTTTTGTTGTAAAATAAAATATATTTCAAATATTTTTGGCATTAATATTTAATAAATAATTATCTAATCAACTGATTTTCATTTATGAATTATGTATTATATGATTGATATTACAATAAATTAAAAGTTCGACAAGTTTATAATTTTTTTGTTTTTTAATTTAAAGAATCCTTACGCGAGACCACAAAATACATAAGCGCAATCACCAACGATCACACCACAATGGCGCTGTCGTCCGCTTGGACCTTTCAAACCAAATGGATGCATTTTACGCCACACCGATATTTCCGGATCATATCGAAAGAGTCCCGGTATATATTGATCATCTTCATGTCGACAACCAGCAAATATATACATTTGCTTATTATATACCCCTATAAATGATATAAATTTTATTAAGATATTCCTTTGTTTATATATTTCATTAAGATAATTTTTTATTAAGATAAAATTTTATTAAAATTTAACTTATCAATTTGTAAAAAAAAAAATTTCTTATACATTTCCAAATCCAAAAAAAAAAAAAAAAAAAACGAATTTAAATTCACAAAATAGTCAATAAAAGCAATTAGTTTTATTATTTTAAGAATTAAAATACATAAATTTATCATTTAAAGAAAAAAAGATTTTTTTTAACCAAAAAAAAAATCTTAAATGAATATTTTAATATAATTTATTAAAATTTTTCAAAACAATTTACAGCAGCATGCATCTACTAATCCATACGGTCTTTCACCGGTGACATCCGGTGTCTCCCAGTAACAATGCCGTAAATCCAACACATTCAGGTATAATTCTTGATGTAAGAAGTCAACGCCACCAAACACATACATCTTATCATCAATGACACATGCTGTATGATTCATTCGTGCTCGTGGTATATCACCCTGTATTCAATTTATATTTTCAATTTTTTTTTTTTTTTTTTTTGTAAAAACTTTTAGAAATGATGAAAAAATTTTATAGCATATCATTTATTTATTATATACGAGATAATTTAAATTTTCAAATTGTTAAAATTTGTAAAAAAACAAAATAAGAAGGAAAGAATAAATTTATATTATTATTTATGTAATTAGTTTTGTACTACTTTTATTTTCATAATTTTTTTATGTATATTATTTTTTTTATATATTTAGTAATAATAACTTACGTATACAATCATATTAAACCATATTCTTCTTTTAAAATTATATATCCAAACATTATTGTGTAATCTAAAAATAGAAAAATTATTTAAATTAATAATAGTTTTTTTTTTTATTGTTTAATATTGCATGGTGAAAAATGAAACAAAAAAACAAACAAACAATAATTTAATTATTTTAAATTTGTTATCATTTTTAATTTTCAACTTTTTACCATCTTTATTCTCATATATTACATACTATAACAATTATTAATTCTCAATTAATTAATTAATTAATTAATTATCTTGGTTGCTGATCTTCAGAACCGCCATACACAATCATCATATCATTAAATACCACAGCTGTATGCTTTTCACGTCCGGTTGCTTCGCCACTAGCACATGGAATTACTGACCAAGTTCGCTCTTCTTAAAATAATACTTAAATACTTGAAAAACGAATTTCAAATTTTAATCCTTTTTTATCATATTCTATTACCAATATTCGTTTTTCCCCTTTTCTCATATTGTATGTACAAATTTTTTTTTTGTTAGTCGTTAATATTAAAATTTCATTCAAATATTTTATTTTTTAAATAACTCAATAGTAAGCAAGATAAAAAGAAAATTATAACTTTTTCTTTTTTACCCTATATTAAACTATTATTAATTAATTAAATAAAAAGAATAATTTTTTCTTTCTCAAATTTTTGAAAGAATATTTATTAAAATTATATGCATAAAAGAATTTTTTAGAGAGAGAGAGAGAGAGAAAAGAAATTACCTGGATCAAAGCAATACATCTTTGAGCATAGCACTCCTATCTCATGACAAAAACCGCCCCACAAATAAATTTTACCCTTATATTCAACAACACTGTGACCAACTCGATGAACTGGACTTTCACCATATGGCTCATAAATTTGTCCTGAATCATCGATAAATTGCTGTGATGGATTTGGTTGAAATAATCGTGTTGGTACTCGTTGCCAACGATAATCAACTAAAATACAAAATAGTTATAGTAATAATAGAAATTGAAAATTTTTAATTTAATTCAAAAAGAAAAAATGAAAAATTAAACAAAAAAGAAAATAAAATTAAGTATAATTACTTCCATTAATTGAAATAATTAATATGAAATAATAAAAAAAATTATTATTCATTTAAGGGAATTTTTATGTTAATGATAAAGAGAGAGAGAGAGAGAGGAAAAGAGGGAAAAATGGAGGAATGGAATTATTTAGAGATAGCTTATAGTATTTGTTAATTTATTAATTAATATAATTTGAAGTCGAAATTTTTTATCAACTTCAGCTCGTATTATTTTACAAAGAATTAAAATCATTTTTACATATGTAAATAAAATTTACCTATTAAATTTTAAATAAATTTTTCTCACATATACTATTTATTTGTATTACGTCATTTCTCTTCATTTATTTTTCTTATTTTTTTATAAAAAAGTTACAAAATTCTTTAATTAATCTGTCAAAAACTAAAAATACAATGAAATTTTTTTTTTACTTTGAAAAAATAGAAACATTATTAGTTAGCAATAAAATTTTGTGAAGTAATTATATGAAAAAGATGAACAAAAAAAAATAACTTAAGCAAATTTATATATAAATATTTGATTTATAATATCGATTATAATTCAATTAATGTAAAAGTAGGTTTAATTATTAAATAAAAAAATTTTTTTTTGGGATAAAAATTAATTTGTTTTAAAATCAGATAAAGATGAAAAAAAAAATTTAGAAACTCAGAAACAAACTAGTATTTAAAACGTGTACACCAAAGGTTTCGGCAGGTTCGGTACACCAGCAACTACCAAATGCATAAATCTTATCATTTAAGGCAACCGCTGCTTGTGTCGTTCGTTTTGGACCACCTTGCAGTGTCACTATCCAACATGCCATAGTGTTATTGTTATGATAAGTGATAAATGATAAGTGAATCAAATGCTGTAATTGATAAAAAAATTAAAATGAAATTTTGAAAAATTCCATAGCTATCAAAACTAATATCGAAAGTAAAAAATTGAGTAACTTGAATTAAAATTATATAGTCAACAAATACTATAACAAATAAAAAATTACAATTAAATGAATTAAAATTCAAGTAAAAATGACTAGTTAAAGTTTATCAGTAATCAAATGCCATGAGACATTTATCAGTATTCATCAAATTCATGTTTATTTGTCACAAAATTTAGAAGATCTAATATAATTCATGAAATTAATTTTCAATCATAACAGAAAAAAAAAATTAAATCAAAAAATTAATAATAAATATTCAATAATAATAATAATATTCGATAATCAATAATAATAATTAATAATCAAATTATTAAATATTCAATAATCTAATGATTTATTTGTATCATCCATCAAAATCTTGCTGTAATTAAATAATCAATTAGACATATATTTATTTTTATTCTTTAGAAAAAGTTTTACATTTATTTGCAAAAAAATAATGTAATGAAAGATTTGTTTTTTCCTTTTTGATGTAAAAAACAATTAGAATTAATTGAATTAAAAGCCATAGGCAAAAATGACCAATAAAAATTTAGCAGTAAAATTAGTATATAAAAGTTTTTCTTTAAGATATTCAAAGTTTAATATTTACTTTAAAGTTGATAGCCGATAATTAATAACATAAAGATAGAAAAGTATATATAAGAAGTAATCATGATATGAGAATGATTATAAATGAAGAAATTGCTGTATGCATCTCAAAGCATTACTGGGAATAGATCAATTGAAAAATTGATAAGAAGCATATCAGTGAGATAAAAGTAAATCAAAAAATACGATAGATCTAAGTCAAAGTTTAAAATTATATAAACTGCGGGAAAATTTTTTAAACAATTACAAATTTTCCACTAATTTTTTACAATATGCATTTTTAAAATTAAATGATAAAATAATAATGAAATTTATTACAACTTTTGCAATTCTTTTATTTTATTGTTTAATCAAAAAATAATATATTAGAATTTAAAACACAATGTAAGTAATAGTCGGATCAGATTATTTCATTTTGCAAAAGTTAAACTGAAAAAAAAAGAATTATATAAAATATTATACTGTCAATTTAGTTGTTTGTAATAAAAATGAAAAAATTTTATGTTAAAATAAATAATCAAATTGTGCTATTTTTTGAAATAAAAAAATTCAAAATGTTAATTAATAACTTACTGATTGATTGATTAATTTGATTGAATGAATAATTAATTAATATCGCTTTAACTGTGTTAAATTACATCGAATTATTGCTAATTACTTTCTTTCATTTCAAATATACCAAATAGAAACACAAATAACAATTCTGCAACATTTATTATTCAAATATGTATTTCTCTCCAATCTTTTATTTGCTTTTTATAAAATTTTAAATTGAAAAAATCGATAAATATGAATTGTAGGAATTATTTGTTGTTGTTATGAATGTTTATTCATACAATAATTATTCTTTTAAATATATTATTGGTAATTTTATTTACAGCAATTTCAATTCAATTTTTGCATATCGAACAACATTGCATCCGTGACGTGTTTACGTTTTAGTTTTTTACGTTCACGTTCACTTTTTTCCTTTTTACGTTTACGCCTACGTTCAGTTTACGTTTCTTCTCGCGTTACATACATGCATGTGTAAAAGCAATACGTTCTTTTCAAATAGTTTCGTCTCTTTCAGTTGTTCTTATAATTTTACTTATATTAATTGTTAAATAAATTAAGTAATACTTTAGTAAGCTGAAAAATCTCATTTTTTCTTGAGTTTCAAAATCCATGAAGTTTTATCTTCAACTATTTTAATTGTAAAAAATGATCAAAATTTAAAGCTGTAATTCAGTCCTATTTGTTATATTTTGATTAATAAATCTGACTGGAAAATTTTCAAGTTTCTTTCCTCGACTTCTAATTTTTCATTTTATATTTTTCCATTTTTTTTTTTTTGTTCATGAATTTGTTGGTGGCTTTAAACTTAAAAATTTATAATATTAGAACTGATTTGCAATAATTATGAGAAAAAAAAACACATTTATTTTATTCTTTTATGCAAACAAAAAATTTAACACAAAAGGAAAAAAACGAAACAAAACAAAAACAAAAGAAAAAGGATGCAGAAAATGTCTAAAAATATTACAAAAAAAAAAAAAAAACGATGAGCTCAAAAATTAACGAAAATAAATTTTTAAAATCAAAAAAGAGTTAAAAAAATAGAGTAAAATTATATTATTTTTGTTACTGATTAATGATAATTTTATTAAATGTTAATTAAGAATACAACAATAACAAGAAAAATCGAATTTAATTATTAATTTAAATGTATTAAATTATTAAGTATTATCTATGCATTTAGATGCAGTTTCATTTTTTTTCTCCTTTAATAATTAAAAATTAAAAAATTAACTTTAAAGAAATAAAAAAAAAATTAAAAATTAACACTTCTGTGTAGCTAAAAACAATATTAAACTGCAATTTCTACTTCATTTTATTTTATTTTCTTATTTTTTTTTAAAATTTTACTGCTTGCTTCTAAGGCATTTTGTATAATTTACATTTGAATTTGCTTACAAAATAGAGAGTATAACTGATTAAATTAACAATATAGCATTAATGAAGTTTAAAAAAAATTAATGGTTCAATTTATTTTATTTAAAATTAAAAAAAAAAAAAGAGGAAAAAAGTGAAACAAGAATCGTTTTCATTTCACATATACATACATCAATTAGGTGCTATTTGATTGCATCGTTGAATAATTTGCTGTTGTTGCCATTTCGTCAGGTTGCAATTTTTGAAATTGCAAATCAATATGAAGTGTTAAATTCTTTCCATTTGAATTCTTTAAATTTCCACTCAAAATATCGGTGACAGTTTTCAGTGTATCATATTGTTGTGCTTCTTTCAATTGCTCATTTGTTACCACCGGTATAGTTGGAAAATCAGCTTTACCGGTATTTGCCACTAATATTACTGAAATAAAAAATGAAAAAAAAGGAGAGAGAGAGAGAGAGAAAGAGAGAGAAAGAAAAAATAATTGAAATTAATTAAATATTATTAAGAAATAATTTTTTAATTATTTGAAATATTTTGCTGAAATTACAATTAAAACACTTTTATTTAGTATTAATTATTTAATTTTGTTTTTCAAATCAAATTCAAAGTGATAATTGGCAATTAAAATATTTTATAAACATTTTCAAAAACATTTTAATTTTAATATTTTTGAAAATTGATTACTTTCTAATATTTTGCACAAACAATTCATCCATTTCTTTTTTTTTTCATCCTCCCATATCAATTATTTATCAAAATTATCTAATATATTTAATTTTAATGTTAATAAATATTCAAAATAGTTACAAATTAGAAAAAAAAATAACTTTTTTTTTTGTTTAAAGATCAAAGTTTATTGTAAACATATGCGAAAAAAGAAGGAAAAGTGTGAGAAAAGGAAAGTAATAAATTATTAATATCAATTTATCTATTAATAAATCAATATTCTGTCATTTGATGGAAATAAATTTAAAATTTTAGACAAATGTCATAATTTTATTAGTTTTAGTTATTGATATATGTATTTGTATTTGTATTTCGTTCTTTGTTGAATAAAATAGAATATCGTTATTTCTTATTCGTATATTATTTTCTCATAAATCTATTAAAATTTAAAATTATCAAATAAAATTTTTTTATCTAAATTTTATTTCATTAAACATATAGTTCTGTGTAGCAAATAATAATAATATCTTTTCTTGTTTCATATAAAATCAGTGCTTAATTTTAAACATACAAATAAATTTTATATTGATAAAAATTTTTGCTTAAAGAAATTTTGTATTAAAAAAATTTTTTAAATAAAAAGAAAATTCAAGAATGACAGAAAGAGAAAGAAATAAAAGGGAATGAATGAAAAAGGATGAAAAGATTCCATAATCATTTATCACAAATCCTGTCAACTGTTCCCTATCTAATCAAATGACATCAACTTTTTATGTTTACAAATACATTGCTGCAATTCAACGAGTAAAATAGTTAAGAAGAAAGAGAGAGAGAGAGGGAGAGAGAGGGAAAAAGAGAGGGAGAGAGAGATAAGAATAAAGCTTAAATATATTGTCAGCTGTGCTGCCTTATCAGTAATGACCTTAATTTTCCTCCTTCTTGACCTATCATTCTAATTGTTTAACCTCAAAAAATGTACAATACTAGTTTAAAAAATACTAAATGTTTTTTTTTTTTTTTTTTCCTTTTTCACTTTTATATTTTTTTAAGGCAAACCAGTTGTAAACAAATTAACTTTTTTTATAAAAATAGAAAAACAAATATATTAATTTAAAATTTATTTTTTTTCTTAAAATTCTCCACTTAAATACTATTAATAAAAATAATAATTTGAAATTTAAAATTAGTAATTTAAGTAAAAAAGTATTTCCTTTTTTCTTTTCTGTTATTACGGTTTGAATGAGTGTATTGTTGTTTCAATTTAAAACAATTAATTAAAATTCTCATTTCTCTCTGACCTATTGTGCATTTATTTTCATCGTACATTTTGAGTTGAACAAAATCAATGCAAGAAATAATTGAAATTTTTAAAAGATAAAGAAGGAAAGAAAAAAAAGAAAAAGTGTTACAATTATTTTCAAAAATTTAAATTTTACCTTTTTTATAATTAATTGGACAAATTTTTTGTTCTTTGCATAAATCTTCAGCATTTGAATTTTTTAATTTTTCCACTGTTATTTCATTGAATGATTCAATGCATGAATCGTAGTTTTTATGATTTTTCGCCGAAACTGATTCACATAGGACCTAAAGGAGTACAAATAATTGAAAGAATTTAATAGGAAAAAGAAAAAAAAAGTTTTTCTTATTTTGTTAAAATTGGATTAATTAATTTAAAATAGTTTTTTTTTTTTTATTTTTATTCATTGCATGCACGTCGTAAAGAGATAATTTAACATTTTTTAAAAAAATTTGTCATATATTAAATGAATAACAAATTTTTAATTATAAATATTTTTTTAAAAAAAAAAGTTTTGTATTCGTAATATTTCTACTTTTTTTTTTCATCAGTCTGTGTTTATGCTATTAAGTCTTGCATATTTAAAATTCAGTTCACGTATGTGTTACACGTGAACTAATTTTTTTTTTTTTATGTAAGAGTATTTTATTTAAATAAATGACAATTTTTTCTTATAGAATAACTTTATTTCAATGAGCAATAGTCATCATATAAAATGTACCACGTATATGAATAAAACACGTACGTGATACGTTTATTAAATGTTAGAAAAAAAATGAAAATAGAAATAGGAATTAAATTGACTAACATGTTTATAAGATGAATTTTCTTGCGTAGTTTGCTGAAATTTCTCAATTAATGCAATACAAAATGGACAGATAATATCAACAGGTATTAGGCCAACAATAGGCTCTTTTTCATTGGCCAAAATATAAGCAAAATTTGCTATTAACAAGGACAATAATAATAAATTCATTTTTTTTTTTTAAATCTATTAATCTATAAATGAACCTGAAAATAAATTTAGCTATTACAATTTATTCAGTTTCATTCAATTATAACTCAATGATAAATATATAAAATAAAGTGAGCAAATTAAGGCTAAAATTTGTTATTTAAAAGAAAACAAAAATAAAATTAGAAAAATAATTAATAAAAATTTTTTGATTATTTAATCATAATGATTTCAAATAATCATAATTTGTTCAATATATTTTTACATACAATATGCAATACATTCATTAATTTTAAAATAAAATTCCCTTTAGTTTCAAACTTAGAAATACTCATAATTTTTATAAAATGAAATTTTCTACTTACTAATGAGCTAAGATGGTGTGAAAGACTCTATTGAAAAGTTTGTATTTCAATCTTTAACAGTTCATTCAAATTTATTAATAATTCAATTCAGTTCTGTTAGATTTAGTTCATTTTTAATTCTAAATCATAAACTATTTCATTTCAAATTGAAAAAACAAACAAGTGATAAATAAATAAATAAACAATGTAATTTTGAAAGCCTATGTTATGCAAATTATAAAAACACACTTTTTTTTGTTTCGTTTTCTAATTTTAATGTAAAGTTTTCTATTTATTTCTTTATTATTATTTTTTTTCTTTTGTAATCATAAATAATAATAATTTCAAACATTTCATTGTGTTTTAAATAAGTTTTAAACAAAAAATAAATGAATAAAACTGTGTTTTTTTTTCCTAATAGTTCATATTTTTTCTTATCAAAAAGATGGTATCATTAGTAAATCGAAACATTTTCTATTCATAATTTCAAACAAATATGCATTGATAATAAATAAATTGTATTTAAATTAATTGAATTTTTTTTTTTTTATTACAAATGAATTCATAGCTGAAATATTTTACTACATATATTATTATAATTTGAAAAAATATTTTACTACATACTACATTATAATTTGAAAATATCCTAATTATATTATGATCAAACTAATTAGCATAACTGGTATGAAAAAATGATCTTTTGGTTTACTAATAGTAAATGTTATCATAGTTGCCATTTTTTTTTCTTTTTTTTGATTTCATATTAATTTTAGTATGATTTTTTGTTATAGCAAAAACTGATTGAGTTTATTTTCTTTTTTAAATATATTTATTATCATATAATCACTCATTTCTTACAAGCACAATGTTATTATTATAATAAAATTAGACTGAGTAAACTTGTCTAATTTAAAATCGAGTCGATAAAAATTAATCTCAAAATGACTATAACTATTAATTTAATCATCGAATTATTAATTAAAATTATGTTATAAGTTACATAATGTAATTTTCCTTATAAATAGATTTCCAAGAAATATATTAATAAAAAGTATAAAATATTAATTACCTAAAATTGGTGAAATTACGATAATATATGAGGTATTTTTTATCAATAAACAAGATTCATTTTATTTAAAAAGAAAAAACGAAGAAATTGCGCATAAAATAATTAAGAATTTAAGCAAATATTTGAAATAAAACAAAGGAAAATAATAGAAAACTAATAAAAATATTACTTTTATGATAATAAATTAATTAATTGTATTAATAAGTGTGTTAAATTGGCAATTTTTAGAAGTGAGCAAACTGGTAGCAATGAGATTTCATGTGGAAATTTTCTGAGAAAAAAGAAAAAAGACATGAAAAGACTGAAATGGATGGTGTTTAAGTGACGGGTGACAGTAGTGGTGACAACTCATTCAATCTCGTTTATATAACCATTTTTCCCACTTCTTCAATTACTGCCTAAATTCCTTTATTGCTACCCATATGAGTTGATACCGCCTGGCATTACATCATACATATGCATGCGCATGCAACAACTATTGAAGCAGTTTAAATTGCGCTATGCATGTGCATGCAATGATGAAAAGCAGTTTATTTATGATCATATGCAAGATGATAAATAAACTGCATGCAATTATAAAACAGGTTCAATTGTGCTATGCATGCGCATGCAGCAAGAATATTTTACCCATAATTATATCTAATATATTTAAATATGGATGAAATGATTTTAAAAAAGAAAATGTAAAATATTTTGTCTCAATTTTTTTTTCTTGGTGGTTTTATAAAGAAAAAATAAAAAAAAAGCAGTTTTAAAATTTTTGGTGATCAGCTTAAAAAAATAAAGGTATGAATAGAAAGAAAGGAAAGTAATTATATCTCATAAATGTTTTCATCTAATTAAAAAGTAATAATTTTTTGTTGCATCAAAAAAGCTATATTTTTTTACTTATTATTACAAATGAAAAAAAAAACATATTTTTGATGGAACAAATCTTAAATAATATTAATATATTTAATTTTTATTTGTTTTTTAATAAATAATCAATCAATAATTTGCATTGTAAACAACAATTAACTGTTATTTTACATGCCACTATAATTAAAAATACGAAAAAAAAATCACATGTTCTTAATTAAATTTTTGAAAATATTTTTTTTAATAGTAATTTTAATTTGTTTGAACAATTTTAGTGGAACAAAAAAATTTCCATATCAAACATTTTCAAAAAAAAAAAGAAATGAAAAAGAGAAATGTTTTCCACTATTGCACTTTTCATAAAACACTTAAAATGAATGAATGATTTGTTGGTCGAACCATTTTTTTTTTTTTTTGAAAAAGAATAAAAAAAGAAAAACAAAGATAAACAGTAAATTCAAAGAAAATTTGGATGACTTAAAAAAATATTAAAAATATGAAAGAAATTTAATATAAAAAAAAAAAAGATTTTTTGTTTGTTCAGAGCAAAATAATTGTTTGTTACAAACAGTCAATCATTTGCATTCTTTGCTTTTTTTTTTTTAAATTCTTTAAGCAACATTATAAAAATTAATAATTATATGATAGGATGACTCAAATTGCTAATTATAAAATGAATAGAAGAAAATATTTCATATATTTATTTAATTTTTTTTTTTTTTATTTGCATAAACATTATTATCTAAACATTTATTTGTAAAATATATGAAAAATTTGTTATATGTTTATTGCATTTTAACATTATTTGTTAAACGACTAATTTGCATAATAATTCATTGCTATGCAAGGAAGAAGCATCACTTCTTGATTCACTGAGAATCGAACCACAAAATCCATCGCAACTACTAATACCACCACTAAATCAAATGATCATTCTTAGCCATCCGTGTGCGAGCGAATTGCTTACTCATTTTGATGTGTTACTAAATTCTCTGATTGTTTCCATCGCTGAATCATCGCAACTATCAATTGTTCACTTTTAAATTCCTATCTTATTAATAAATTTACAAATATTATTCATCTCATTAATAAATATTTCAATTTGTATTTCAAATATTTTATTTTTAAACAACAAACAAAAAACTTTTTTTTTTTCTTTTTTAAATTTTATTGTTAGTATAAATTGTTTTTTTTTCTTTCTTTTTTCTATTTCTGATAATGTTTTTGTTTTTTTTGTTTTTTTCTCAATATGGAAATTTCCGCTTTCGTTTATATTTTAAAATGATATATAAGAAATATTTTCTTTATTAATGCCTTTTTTTTTTCAAATCTATTATCAAATATAATCATACGTCAGATAACATACGTATGATAAGCGTACGTACGTGTATGTTGCATAAGTCAGATAAATAAAAGTAAATGTATACAATATATGTTGCATAATTCAAATGTTATTTTCATTGTAATTTACATATATTCTATAAGTAATACTTACAAAATTTTATAATACATCAAAAAATTTCAAAGCTAAATTCAATTAATCGTGTTACAAAAAATACTATAATTAAATGAAATTTTTTAACATTGAAATTGAAGAATTTTTTTAATTATAAAATTTGAAAAAAAAATTTTTAAAAAAATAAATGAAGTGCTCAATTATACTGTTTAATTTATTCATAATTAATAACGATTTTTCTGTTGAAATTTTCAATTGCATACTCCTTTATTGTATGTGTTGTGTATGTGTGTGTCTGTGTGGTGCATGTGTGTGTCTGTGTGGTGCATGTGTGTGTCTGTGTGTGTAATTTTGATATTTCATCGTTCCTTTCATCATTGATACAAATTTTACTCCACGATTATTTATGCAAATTTTTTGAAAATTAATCTTTGAACTAATTCAAAAGGCATAAGCTAAATTTAGATACATATCTAGGTTTCATTAAAAGTTGATTAAATATTGTGTAATTTAATACAATTCATTCATCTATTAAATTTTTCATAATCAATAGCAAATAAAAATATTTAATCAATTAATATATTTCATAAAATAGAAGAAGAAATCAATAATTTTCACTAGAATGAACTTTGAAATGCTTAATTAATTGCTTCATGCTTTATCTACCATTGAGCAATTTCCTTTTGAATTTATTCATCGATCCGAGAAAATCAATTCACCAACATTTGTAGTTATATTGGGACGATGGTTGCTGAGTAAAAGGCAATGTTATAAACATTTTGTTTCAAACTAAATTTAAACTAAAATTGTTAGCTAATAAATGAGAATTTTTCACTAAGTCTATTTAATTGTTTACTTTTGCTTAATTTATTTTATTATTTTTTAATTAAATTTTAATTTTCATTAACTTTTTTTTCATTAAATTTCATTGCTTTCTTTTGTTTATCCTTTGGAAGAAAAAGAAAAACAGAAAATTAACAAGCAGTAGTGGTATTAATTTAGGACAGTAAACTTTTTTAATTTTAGTTTTTGTTTTCATTTTTTATTTGCATTTTAATTGTTTTAAAAAATTTCAGATAATAATAATTATTATTAGATATTTATTAAGCTCAAATTTTAAACTCAAATTTTGATTTCTGTTTGAAATATTTCTAATAATAATTATTATTGTTACTATTTTATTATTAAAGTTGAAGCCTTCTTAAAATCTTCTCTTACTATTGAGTGTTGCCTGACAAAGCTAACTTATTACTATTACCGATAATGAATTACTCTTCTAATAATGGCTAACTAA